GGCCATCTGTTGGACTAACACGGCGCCCCCTGCTGCCAGGGCGGCGGCTCCGGCGATCAGACCCAGACCCGACGCCTCCTTCCTTCCTGTTTCCTTCTTGCTTGCTGCTTCTTTCCTGTTCCTCTCGTTTTTGGACCTTTTGGCAGAATCCGGGTCGGGTCTGGTTCTGGGTCCCTTGTTCTGTGCAGCGATTGGCTGAGAGCTTTCTGTGGTCAGACTGAGGTCCGTCAAAGAACCAGCCGACGGTTTTCCTTTAACTCTAATGGATCTGGACTCTTTTCCCGCTCTAACGGATCCGGAACCTTTCTTCCCGGGTTCTGGACGTCGTTTCCAGTCCGCCGCTGGTTTCTGGCGTTTGGACGTCGCTTTGCCGGCTTCACGCCCCCTCTGAGCATCCCTGTTATCGGTTCTCCTCCTCTGCTCCACACCCAGCAGGAGATTCTCTTTGTTCTGACCCGTTTTCTCCTTCCGGCCTGACGAGGAGCGAGCGTCTCCGCCTTCAGGGAGCCCGGCGGGTCCTTCCCGGCGAGCCGACCCGGCGCCTCTCTGATGAGACGGAGGCTTGGCGGAGGAGCCCCTCCCCTCAGAGAGCTTTTTCCGACTCTGCTCTCTGATTGGCCGAGCCTTCCTCTGTCCGGCACAGAAGGCAGCAGAGGACGGAAAAAAAGGAGGAGTTAGAGGAGAGAAGAAGAGGCAGGAAAGAAGAAAAGAGGCTGCAGGTTGTTTCTGGTCCTTTCAAAATAAAATCCACTTTTTATAAAGACAGGAGGAAACCAGAAACAAGCTCAGCCTGATGAAGGACAGGAAGGTTCCCAGAACAGCCGGAGGATCCTGAGGCGGACCTACCTTCTCCAGAGGAGACAGAGTGAGGCTTTGATCAGCAGGATCCATCTTCATCACATGCGTCTGTCAAACAAAGCGAGAGTCTGATGAGCGGGAAGCTTCGGCCGCTCTTCAGCAGGAGCAGCTCACACGCTTCTCACCATGTTCAGGAAGTCGCAGGTTTCTCCCAAACCTCTAACGCTGTCTGTGTCCGTCAGGCTCTCCGCCACGCTGCCGGCCCGGCACGCCGTCTGCTCTGAGGAAACACCGCACAACTCACCAAAACGCACCGCAACCGTCATCATTTAGCTTTAATCGCTTATTGGCTGCGAGAAATTAAAACTGATCCAAATAGACTCAGGTTTATTTGTTAACATTAGCTATAATTCTAATAAAAAAAATAACTAAAATATAAAATAATCACTGAATAATGATGAAAATATAAAAAACTTTGAATCTAAAATATTTCAGAGGTACCCGATTTAACATTTTATGGAAAGATTAAAATTTAGTAAATAACAAAACAGTTGTTTTATATTCATCCAAATACAAATAAATAAATAAAACCAAAATATGCGTACGAATAAAAAAAAACTAAAGAAGTGTATTTCATTCAGCAAAGATAAGATCTCTTAATTACAAGATCATATCTTGAAATTACGAGATCTTTGCTCAAAAACTTTGAGCAAAGATCTCGTAATTTCAAGATATGATCTCTTAATTATGAGATTTTTTATTTTAATTATGAGATCTTTTCTCGTAATTAAGAGATAATTATCTCTTAATTACGAGATAAGCTGTATGATGTTTTTTCTTTGGTGAATGCGACATGCTTCTATAAAAAACAGTGGGCTGAATAAAATGTTGACCAATTCCTTAAATTATTACATTAACATTTGTATTATTCATATGTTTAAAAATAAATGTTTATATTAATATGATGCCATTTAAATGAATGTGAAAACAAAAAATGAACAAAAAAAATGTATTATATTAATTTAAAAAATGAATGTGTGGTTCTGTAAGTACAGAAGCGTGTTGCATTCACCAAAGAAAAATAATCAGACAGTTTATCTCATAACTAGGAGATCGGTATCTAGCATTTATAGTATATTTCATCTTTAGGAGACCAGGAAGGACAATCGTTGCTGAGCTATGCAACATGAGAAGTGAACAATGAGTGGGTTGTCGGATTTTATCTGCTTTTAGGTATGCGACTAAGGGGGGATTTACCATAAGGAAAAACTAGGCAATAACCTTAGCCTCGTGAGACCATCCTGATGTCGCGAGCTTTCAAGGTTTCCCTCGCTAATCAGTCTGGAGACTCTCCGTTAAAGAAAATTTGGAGCCGTTCACCAA